CTCACTGCCCCCCCCCCCCCCCAGGTCCGAACGAATAGCCATTGTCCTCTCGATATTAATCCAATATCATCTCGTGAGTCATGTACAAATGTGGTATTCGGGCATTATTTGGGTCGACAGTAATAAGGCCTCTATAGAAATACATCCCCCTTCATATCAGTTGTCATGACTGGATATCACTTATATCTCACTTATATACAACGCAGGTCCAATAATAGACAATAAAGAAACATGTAATTTATGAAATTTTGGGAAGCAGCGGGCTCACCACAATTATGGGAAGACGGAAAATAACGAGTACGTGTTGTACAAGTTATGGTACTCGATGACAGAATAATATCTCGTCGCCAAGAACAATTCAGACCAAGTGATATTTTCTTTGACGAATTTTTTAAACAACTTAAAGCTAGGTCAGTATTTATTTTCTGTTCCTGTGAAGAGAGCGAAAGTTCAAGATAAGAAAGCGTCGACTGAGACTGTTTTGATAACTTTTAAGATAAGAAATAAATACTGGTGATCATGTTTTCATTATTACTTTTCTTCAGACGTTTAAACAGTCTTTACAAACATACAAACAAACATAAGCGTTGCTCACGACATGTCTTGTGATCAGGCGTATAAAAATACCCCGATTTTAATTCCAACGAAGTTTCACTTAATACTACCACGCGATGTCCCTTCTAATACATCAAATCTTTGTTGCGATAGCTTGACATATAGATATTGACATCCATGTGACGATCAATACAAAAATGACAGTTCTAATTGTAAAAACACTTGGGTGGCATATAATGGTTTGTGGGGGCTTGGGTGATGACCTTCGTCCAGACCTGGGAACCTCTACTTAGTCAATAATTACACTGTAACTCGGGATGGGTTTCATATCATTTAAGAATATTTTGAAAAGATTGTGTCCGAATTTAAGCCTAGATTACATTTGGAATGCGATGTCCGTACGGTGCACGTATACTGCTAGTAATACCCTTTTCGTACAGCGTCTGAGCGGAGGTAGACGGTGGCCGTACGAAATCGCACGGAGTTGTACGGAGGTAAGGCCATAGAATGTAGACATACTCGGTGGAGCCCGTAGCTCCTTACGATTTCAAAAAAAAATCGTACGGACAATTTCATCGCACGTCGCCCGTGTAAATGTCGCCGGATTTATAATTACATGTCCATAATTCTCAATATTATGCCACTTCCAGCCAAGAAGTCTTTTATTATAAGGTCGGAACGGGAGGCGAATGTAAGAACAATAAATCATGATTCTGGGAAGACATTATTCTTGGTAAAGGCAGAGACGTGTCTTATGATACAAAAGGATACTGAATAGTTTCTGAGTAGTCGCAATTCCCAATGGTTTCCAATGCATTATTGCTTTTAACTAGTATATCACACCTATCGCACTTGTAAACGATATCCGTTTCAAAAAATTTTGCACACTAAATTTTATTTAGCATCGTTTTCAGGAAAGATCACTGTGGGTCAAAGTTGTTTTCCAACATGATCTCCAAATACAAGATGGCTGCCACAGTAACACGTTTTCATCTGTTTATTTCAGTGGGGTTTTTCAATATTCTACGTCATCTACCGGTTCTTTGTAGCAGGCTACTGTTTCGTCCTGCTGATATACAGTGGAATAGTGTACAAGTATGGGCCAAAATACTTCATCTTCTTGACATACTGGTCCTTCATCTTGCTCAATGTAAATACCTTGCTGTTATTTATCACATCGGTGATTGGATATTACAAGTTTAAGAGGGCACAAGGTATGATTTCTATGGTATGATATTTACTCTGTGCTGGAGATAAAAAAGAACGATTAAACGTTTACTTATAAAGCTATTGTGAGACCTCTCTCTCTCTCTCTCTCTCTCTCTCTCTC